CCCCCCACCCCTCCTCCACTGTCCTACCCTAGTGTTAACCACACGGGACCATCACCCATTACCATCTTGGCGAGGTGACCTGACCAGACAGCGGTTGCAGGCACCCAGGCTAAGCAGAGAGGGAAAAAAATCAGTAGGTGCTAAAGCAGGATGGCTCAGGAATGTGGCCATTGTGGGACTGACCTTTCCACTGGACCAGGCGCTATTTGCTGGCCTACTATTTGTTCGTAGAGGGCCAAGTTAGACCACTACTCTAGAGGATGCTCATATCACCTCGGCCAATTTTTTATTTATTTATTTTTATTTTTTATTTTATTTTTTCTTTTTTTTTGGCCGACGTGATATGAGCATCCTCTCCTACCGGTAGCAGGCCTGTTAACAGTTGCTCCAATCTTATTGGCGGGGAGCATGGGTAAGGTTCCACCAGACTCGTGGTTCAACTTGGCCCTCTATGAACAAACAGTAGGCCAGCAAATAGCGCCTGGTCCAGTCGAAAGGTCAGTCCCACGATGGCCACATTCCTGATCCATCCTGCTTTAGCACCTAGTTCCTCTATTCTATTGAGCGAAAATAATAAACTCGATTAAATTGGTATTTATTTGCTAAGTAATCTTCTTCTTCCATTTGAATTAATCTCGTTATTGCTATACAGAAAAAACTGAATGACAATACTGATTATATAAATTTAATTTAAGACTATTTATTCATTAATTAATGAATGACTACTATTTTTTTCTTCTATCTCTGTASTTTTATCTACAAACAATAATAAATTCATTAATATTTTCCTACATTCTCATATTAAAAATTTTAAAATTGATATTTCTTCATATTATATTGTATTTTACCTGCGCATGCTACACGAATTCCCATTTCCCTAGCTAATATCTTAGTCATATAAGCTGCATCATGAGTGCCATCTCCGAAAACAATTGCTTTTTTGCCTGTCAAATTTTGACAATCAGTAGATCGCGAAAACCATGCTGTAGCTTGGTTATATCAAAAATTTGAAGATAGTTTTTTGAACTTTTTTCCTAGTAGTAGGCACTAAAACATGTGGATACTTTTTGCAAAATGCACTTGGAGTTATGATTTTTGCAGAACCAAGGTATGCAATGGCAGAATTGGAAGAAGGAGATATCTCAGCGAAATTAAATGATTAGGCCGCCCGGGTCCCAGGTGGCCAGCCCGTGCAAGGACCACGGAAGGTCCCAGCAAAAAAAAAAAACAATCCAAAAAATCCAAAAAATCCGAAAACAAACTATGTTATGCAGAAAAATAAAGTGAACAACTTTTGCCTCAGGGTCACATCGAAATTCTTCACCAAATTTACAATAAAATATAAATTAAAAAAAATATATATATATATATCGTCAAATAGAATATATATATATAATATATTGTCACATGATATCAGAGCGCCTAAGCGAAAAAACAAAAAAAAACAAAAAAATCTTAAATTCGTTTTTAATCTTCTTCCTTACAACTCCCCCTGTTCAGAACCTCTTGCGTACAAGGCCGCCCACGTGAATGTAGGTTGAGCGGCGGCTGCCCCCACCCCCGTGTGTCATATCGACCCACTTGCACACAGCCAAAAGGCAAAGAGGCAAAGAAGAGAGGAAGGGAACAGCCAAATGAAACAAATAGAACAGAGGGAAACAAGACAGATCCCAGATGACAAGTCCCACATGCAAGCACCACCCGCTCCGTCAAAGGCCAAACAACGGGACAAGACCACCCAGGACAAGACATAAAAAAGCGACGATCCACAGTGTGACAACCAAGAAAAAAAGAGAAGATCCTGGATGACGATTCCCACATACAGGCACCGCCCCGCCTCTCAAAGGGCCGAACAACGGGAAACAACCAACCAGGATGCCAAAAACCCGAATGGCTGGTCCCACATGAAAGCACAGCCACGCCCATAAGATAGCCCGAACAACGGCCCCCACATATAATAAA